CCACGTCTTGGAAAGGTATAAAAAAATTTTGTGCTTATTTACTGTAGGGTCGAGCCCTCAGACCTAGAGTTAACTGTGGTGAGATGATGTGTAAGTGGGACGATTTGAATGTCCGAAGCCCATAGAAAGAAACTGTTGCCTGCATTTTGAAGCAAGTCCTGATGAACAGTTGATGGACAAACTGAACAATAAAAGAACACACAATGCGACAGGTCCGTCGAGACCAACATGTAGAGGCAAGGCCTTCAAACCGCAACTCGGACTTGGAATGCTTACGAAAAGGCTGCGAAAGTTCTCCGCAGAATAGTAAATATATAATCAACAGTGGCCCCGCTAAATACAGAATCACATACAAAAAAATACTAGTTAAAAACGACTATTGTGATTTACAAGGTAAAATGCAACTCAAGGAACTCTGTAGCCTGATCGAAGAGATATTGTATTGATGGCTAAACCACACATCAGAAAATGAAAAAACGACGACGTTTCGATCCGTCCTGGATTATTATTGACCAAAACGTCGTTGTTTCTTTATTTTCTTACGTGTGGTTCTCTCGAGAAAGCCATTACTGGTGTATTTCTTGGCAGGAGGTTGAAAGAGTTGTGGCTCTCTGGTAGTTACCATGTGTTGCAGGCGATGAGTCACAATAACGTGACTGAAGTATGTTGACCAAACCACACACCTCAAAGTGAAGGTCCGTCCTGGACCATTCTCAAGTCGATTGTGAGAATGTTACCATGTGTTCTCTACTCGTGCTAATGGCCGCTAGACATTCCTCTGATACACTTTACACTTCCTGCATTCTCTCTCTCACTCTAACGTATTACAATTTGATTGTGTGGCTTCGGCACCCGACCTTGCAGTATTTTCCATGTGATATCAAATATATTGTTTCCGTTCCAAATAATACAATTTGTGTGCTTTAAATCGGCTTCGCTGATTGAATGCGGACGTTAAAGACGTTTTCTATGCTTTCTAGTTTTGCTATCTCGCCTCTCTTGAAAAGGGATGTGCAGACTGAGCAATATTACATTCGATATAGCACTAGTGTCTTAATCACCAGCTAGTGATATCAGAGCTAGTAATGTGAATTGGAAATATTGTCTCTCTATTTTCCTAGCAACTAAGAGGACGTTAATCAGAATACTATACATAATTCATGAGACAATAAAGATCTCTAAATTTGTTGCATTACTAAGGCTAGGTTAATAAATAGATGAGCAAAAATAATCCTGAACAGTCAGTATAATCAGCCAACTCAGTGTTTCACTCCGCCTACCTACGCTGAAGCAGCATAATGTCCTCCATGTGTCTCAATATACATTAGGCTCTCCCTCGTAGTGTAATCAGAGGCAAGAGCACCTGGCAGTACATCATACGAACTCGTTAATCTCGGCTCGCTCACTTTGCCAGTCTCAGAGAGTAAACTCTCACAGTATGGAAATCGAAAGCTGTCGCGTGTCAGGAGAAATTTCCACTTCAGTTGAGGACTTTTGCAACCTGTCATGAAAGAATGGCTTTGAAAAACTCGCTGCTTTTCTTGTTGATTATTTGAGATTCAGAGTTTTTTCTTTAGTGTAAAAGGGAACGTGTTTTTCTACGATTTAAGAATGCACTCATGAAATTTCAATAGTAAGGAAATCATAAAAGATTTTGTCAACAAAGTTCTTTGATGGCTGTTAGAAATGCTTAACGAAAGGACCATAAAACTCTCTAAGAAGAAGAAATAACTTTAAGAAACAAAAGTTATTCATGAACTGGAGATATAACAAGGGTAATAATTAGCATGGAGTATCAGTACTCCAATCCTGGAATATTCGAGTCCATCATGGAGATCAAATCTATTCAAGCACAAGACGAAGTTAGAGAAAGTTCAAACATATGCCACCAGATTAGTCTTAGAACTATGGTGTATGACATATGAGGAAAGGCTATATGAATTGAACCTCTCGTCGTTTAAAGACAAACACGTTATGGAAGCCTTGATAACTACATACAAAATTCTTAGGGGATTTTATAGGATATAAAATTATAGACTATCTAACACTGATGATACTTGCACTGAGAGACTCAGGTTGAGACGCAGGGTACCCAAATTAGTCTCAGAAATATCAGAAAAACCTTTTTGGTTGTCAGAGTAGTTAACAAATAGAATTCACTACTCAGTAATGGTGAAGGCAAACTCCTTACAGTATCAAATTTAGATAAGATAGACCACAATAGACTCAGGAACTTATACACCAGCTAATTGATAGTTGAGAGGCGGGACCAAAGAGGTGAAACTCAACCCCCTCGCAAGCACAGTTAGGTGATTAGGCGAGTACAATCACAACACACCAGACAAACACAGGAAGCCCCCCCCCTCGCCTCTCCAGGATGTATTTACAACTCAAATGAAACAAATAAACAGAGTGACGCAAGCGAACAAAGGTCCATCACAAGACAAACACGATACACGAACATGACACACAAACATCTTGCCTCGCAGGAAGGCCGTCGTACAGTGTTTGGACCTTCGACTACTCGTGCACTAATGCACGACGAAGTTGCAAGTCCTTTGTTATGCAAGCTTCCTCGAGCGTCACTTTTACTTTCTTTAGTGAAACTTGACACATTACTGATAATGAGAAAATATGGGGAAGTTATCTTCTCTGAGGATGTGAGGAAATTAGACATTAATAAATAGAAATAAAAAACTGATGAAAAATTCATTTCTTCAACTCTCTTAAAGTTAATTTTACAGTTTCATTTGTCCTAATGCATGTCACTGATGGACGTGTTTCGCTTAAGCTCCCTTCAGCATCTTCGGAAGCTGTGGATGCATAGTGGCTGGTAGAACATTATATTCACCAAGTAGGATAAGATTGTTGTTGTTGTTATATGTTCAGCTACTCGGAACAAGTTCCAAGTAGCACGGGCTACGGTGAGCCCGTAGTGGACTTACCTGGCACAGGAGCGGTGTAGGATGGGGTGAAGTGAGGTATTACATAGTCGATGTGGACTAGGCCACTAGGTGTGGTGTAAGGAGGAACTCTCTGATAGTAATTATTCTCTGTTGGTCTGTAGGTAGGTATGATTTGTACTGGGAAGTAGACTGGCTATTATGGGCTCACTATAGCCGGTGCTACATGGATATTTTGTTCTGAGAAGCTAAATCTAAAACAACATTGACTGGCTATTAAATGTTGGATGAGTGTTTGATATGTAGTAACGTAGCTGTGCCTAATCTCCTATTGTCGTTTTGTCGTTTATCTCGGCAATGTTGGTTGCGATATTTTTGGTGCTGGTCTGGTTGTATGGAGAAAAGATATGATCTTCGATAGATAACATCATTTGACCACACCACGGAGATAGCCAAATTAAACAACAGAAATGCCAATTCTATTAAGATAAGACTCGCGATAAGAAACATTCTGGATCTTTGAGAAAACGCTGTAGAAGAAAGTTAACCTAGGGAAGATAACAGTTTCCCATCACCGAGCATAACATCACCGGCCGAAATCCTCGAGATTGAATTGTTCTTGTTAATTTCAAGCAATTAGTAATATCTTCTGATGAGCAACGATTACCTTAACACTAACCACAGTTGGAGGCTTACCAAGCCGAGCCGAAATTGGTTTTGCTAGTGTTCTAATTGCTGACTAACTGAGTACAACATTGTGTTGTAGACTGAATGATGAGTGTTTATAGATGATTCATAATTTATTTAAGTTGAACGCCTATCTATCGTAGATCTGAGTTTATCGCAATATATAGCAATCTGATTATATTCCTCTTAATTTCTACGTTAATATTCTTGATTAAACGCCATTAGCTGGCAGTATTGAGGGGCTCGGACGATTGGGGAGTTCGTACGATTAGGGTCATACGATAGGATTGGTCGCACGATTGGATTGCTTCCAAGATTAGGCTCCTCTCAACAATGAGTAGTCTTTATTAACATACAGGTGATATAATTATCAAACAGAACACTGAATTGCAAATGCTATCAACCAATAAATCAATACAGACATAAAGATCAACAGAGTTTATGAAGCGGATATATATACGAAATAATTATGGAATCAGCAGCCTGTTGGTGGCGAGATACGGTACCAAGAGTACCAATCATGACCAAATATTAAAAAAGATTGGGTAATATAATGAATAAAAGTATACTCGATGTAATAAAATATGAATCTCAAGACACAAGAAGGTAAATTTAAGAGATAAACGTAACAGCTGTGAGAAACAGGAATTTAAACCGAGTGGTAAACTATAAGTTCTCCGTAAACTATATATTAAACTATAAGTTTACCAAGAGTGGAGAGAAGGACATAACACTGCAAACCTAGATTTATTCGTAGAAGGATAAGGAGTAATGAAAGTGGACATTCTGCCGTACAAAGAATTTAGATCAAATAATCTAAAGATATGAACCATATAGTTGCAACAAACTTGATGAAGGAATTTGGAAAGTGTACAGGAAAAACAAGTAACAATAAAAAAGTGGCGAAAGAAAGGTGAAGACTATATGGAATAGTGAGAGGGAGGAAGGTGATGCTACAATGGAAAAGTGTGGGAAAGGGGGCCATGTTGCTATGGAGGAATAGGGGGGGGGGGATATGTATACGGAAAGTTCCCTAATAAGAATTATTTGAAAGAGTGACTATAAATATCAGAAGAAAGCGCCAAGCCATTAGGACTATATGGCACGGGGAAGGGATCAGGTTAAGGATTTGGGATGGGACAGGAGGAAAGAATGATGCCCAACCACTTGTGGACGGTCGGGGATTGAACACCAATCCCCGACACCAACCTTGCATGAAGCGAGACCGTCGCTCTACCGTCCAGCCCAAGTAGTTGGGCAACTACTGCTAATAATGGAAATAAACCTGCGTATAACTTTCTCCTATATTTAGTCACCAGGATTTATTTAAATTTATATACATAAAACGTAAACTTAAATAACCAATTTTCAGTGTTGTCAAAGATATGAGACAACACTCCCAATACTCACCAAGCGAGGCTGTAGCCAGGGTCACACTACAAGACACGAACACAGTTCACATCACCTTCACTTCCAAGATAACAATTCACCTCCACACACACACACACACGCTCATACACTTCACTGGCGTAAATGAACGCTACAGATATCGCGGATTTCCCCGACACACGAGTCACGATAAATGATCGTGCAGGGAGCGCAGGAACAAATACCTGGCCATGGGGCCGCGATGCTTGTACTAAACCTCTCTCTCTCTCCCTGCCAACTCTCACTCCTCCACCGTCGCAGTGTTAATGATGTGAATACGAATGGAGGTCGCGACTGCTCCAGCTCACGCTGGTTCAGTGCGGTATTCCCTCATATATTTGCCCGAGACGCAATGCGTGAGTTACCGCTCTTATCAAACCTATTGCAGTGATGGACACTATGCAGAGAATGTCACAATAATGTGGCTGTGACAACTAACTCGAATGATTTCATAAACGTGAGTTGGTTGTTTTTATCTCTGCCACATATGCCCAACCACTTGGAGTGGACGATAGAGCGACGGTTTCGCGTCATGCAGGTCGGCGTTCAAACCCCGACCGTCTAAGTGATTGGGCATCATTCTTTCCTCCCGTCCCATCCCAAATCCTTTTCCTGGTCCCTTCCAAGTGCTATATAAACGTAATGACTTGATGCTTCCTCCCGATAATTCAATTCTGCCACATATATATTGAAATTTATATCGTTTGTTACTAAAACTTCCTGCTAAGTTGTAATATTCTGAGGGCTTTCAGGTACAAGTTTCTGAAGCTATATACTTTAGAAACCACCCCTCTGGAGGTATTTCGCTAGAGATAAACGTTGTTGAAGCTATAATCACAGTGATCTGGTGTTATGTGAAGGGAAAGGAACTGTCAGTAGAAAGCAGTTTAAAACTGCTTTAAAAGCCATTATGACTATATAGGACTGGGAAGGGGTAAGGATAAGGATTTGGGATGGGACGAGGGGGGGGGAAGGAATGGTGCCCAACCCCTTGGATAGTCGGGGATTGAACGCCGACCTGCATGAAGCGAGACCGTCACTCTATCTAACCCGTTCTCGCACTTGCTTATAGTCAATATTGGCTTATTAGTGAGTGCATATGTGACATACTAATTTATTGTGAATATTTAGTTTACCTTGAAAAGCTTAATAGAAAACACCGACCTAACATAACCTCCTTAATATGTTTAGATAAGCATCTTATTGCTTCTTAACTACTCTATCGTCCAGCCCAAATGGTTGGGCAATCATCATAGTGAACCATTGGGTAAAGTACGTTTGATGTGATGTCTACACCATATGTTCATTACCTTCTCTTGCTTCTGCAGCTGTCTCCTTTGTCGAGACAGTGCCAGGTGGAGCCAAGGTTTGTTTGCTTGCCCGATACTTAGATTTAGTCAGTGATTCAGTACAAATATTAGTCAATAAAACCCCAGATAAAACGCAGGTTTAGTTCCATTATTAGCAGTAGTTGTCCAATCACTTAGACTGGACGGTAGGGTGACGGTCTCGCTTCATGCAGGTCGGCGTTCAATCCCTGACCATCCAAGGGGTTGGACACCATTCCCCCCACCCTCATCCCCGTCCCATCCCAAATCCTTATCCTGACCCCTTCCCAGTGCAAAATATACTGGTAATAGCTTGGCGCTTTCCCCTGATAACTCCCGTTATTAGTAGTGTACAGAGTGATAAATTTTAACATGAATAAGAAGACGACGGCAGGATAAATGTAGGTAGGAGTAGCTGTATTACAAGAGCAGCTGTACTACAAGAGCAGCTGTACTACAAGAGCAGCTGTACTACAAGAGCAGCTGCACTACAAGAGCAGCTGTACTACAAGAGCAGCTGTACTACAAGAGCAGCTGTACTACAAGAGCAGCTGTACTACAAGAGCAGCTGTACTACAAGAGCAGCTGTACTACAAGAGCAGCTGTACTACAAGAGCAGCTGCACTACAAGAGCAGCTGTACTACAAGAGCAGCTGTACTACAAGAGCAGCTGTACTACAAGAGCAGCTGTACTACAAGAGCAGCTGTACTACAAGAGCAGCTGTATTACAAGAGCAGCTGTACTACAAGAGCAGCTGCACTACAAGAGCAGCTGTACTACAAGAGCAGCTGCACTACAAGAGCAGCTGCACTACAAGAGCAGCTGCACTACAAGAGCAGCTGTACTACAAGAGCAGCTGTACTACAAGAGCAGCTGTACTACAAGAGCAGCTGCACTACAAGAGCAGCTGCACTACAAGAGCAGCTGCACTACAAGAGCAGCTGTACTACAAGAGCAGCTGTACTACAAGAGCAGCTGTACTACAAGAGCAGCTGTACTACAAGAGCAGCTGTACTACAAGAGCAGCTGTACTACAAGAGCAGCTGTATTACAAGAGCAGCTGTATTACAAGAGCAGCTGTACTACAAGAGCAGCTGTACTACAAGAGCAGCTGCACTACAAGAGCAGCTGTACTACAAGAGCAGCTGTATTACAAGAGCAGCTGTACTACAAGAGCAGCTGTACTACAAGAGCAGCTGTATTACAAGAGCAGCTGTATTACAAGAGCAGCTGTACTACAAGAGCAGCTGTACTACAAGAGCAGCTGCACTACAAGAGCAGCTGTACTACAAGAGCAGCTGTACTACAAGAGCAGCTGTATTACAAGAGTAGCTGTATTACAGGAGCAGCTGTACTACAAGAGCAGCTGCACTACAAGAGCAGCTGTACTACAAGAGCAGCTGTACTACAAGAGCAGCTGTACTACAAGAGCAGCTGTACTACAAGAGCAGCTGTACTACAAGAGCAGCTGCACTACAAGAGCAGCTGTACTACAAGAGCAGCTGTACTACAAGAGCAGCTGCACTACAAGAGCAGCTGTATTACAAGAGCAGCTGTACTACAAGAGCAGCTGTACTACAAGAGCAGCTGCACTACAAGAGCAGCTGTATTACAAGAGCAGCTGTATTACAAGAGCAGCTGTATTACAAGAGCAGCTGTACTACAAGAGCAGCTGTACTACAAGAGCAGCTGTATTACAAGAGTAGCTGTATTACAGGAGCAGCTGGTTCTCTCGATTTGTAACTCCGTAAAACTGCAACTGTTTACATAACTGGAAGCGTACGAACCCAAACAACCCACCTAACCCTTCGAACACCGATGCATAGGAAAGGTAAACATTACGATGCTTCATTTGTTAGTAATTCGTCGTTTTTTGAGTGGTTGATTCGTTGACAAAATGCAATGTATTAGGTGAGAGGGTGCTGCCAGTCGAGAGATGGCAAGCAGCATCCAGCCTGCATCTGGTACAGGTGGGTACCTGCAGGTGGGTACCTACAGGTGGGTACCTGCAGGTGGGTACCTACAGGTGGGTACCTACGATAAGAGCCGCACCTAATTGTGCTTGCGGGGGTTGAGCTCTGGGTCTTTGGTTGAGTCTACTAGCTACATATATCAAGAATACCAATTCATTTAGTGTAAAGATTAGTTAACTGGAGAAACCAGCTTATTATTGAGGTATTTCTGTAAGCTGCAGAGCTTAGCAGGACGAGAAAACAGCTGTAGCCCCTGGAGGACTTTATGGGCGGCCACTGTTGCACGACGCAACAGTGCTTGGTGTATGCACTGTCTATTAAATGTTCCTGTGTTGCCATGAAGTCTTTCCTTCCCTCACCTGTGCGTGTCTGGTGAATGGAGAAGCTCGTTCTGATGTAGAAGCCTCAGGAGGTGTAGAAGCCTCTGTAATGAAGATTCCAAACCTCAAATTTGATGGAAGTATAGGGGAGTCAGAGGTCAACAAACATCCCATTGACTGAGGTCAAGATAAACACACATCCATTGCTTCGTTCCCATCCGTGGCATGTTGCTGACCAACGGTGCTCGTCATTGGCTTATTGAATGGTTCTACAGACCCCTCACATGTCGCCTACCTATACCACTGCTCTGTGTGAGACCCCTCACTACCGCCCCTCACACAAACGACCCTCACACTAACGACCCTGCTCAGGCAATGACCGACTGTCACAGTCCATCTTGGCTTCCCAACAGAGACTTGCTCTACCTGGCCCTCCCTTGTGCTCTGATTTTCAACCAGGGGAAGCTCAGGGTGTTCTGCCCCTGATGGCTGAGCGTGATATACTTCTGATAACTAAAAGCATATTCTGACTGTCCTCGCGCAGGCCATTAAAGCCATCAACTCGGTATAGCGCGACAATCAGTCAATCAGAGTGCAGGTTAAATGCCTCACATCACAACAGATGTTGCTCTGCCACTTCCTTGCAAAGGGGAAAATACGTTCCCGCATTCGGGGCATTTTTCCCGGGTGCATACAGAGCGTAAGATTGCAGATTGCAGAACGTAAGACTGAGTATAACTGCGGAAGGCTTATTTACGAGTCAGCTTCTATTTACGTCCAAACAAACTCATTGCCTTGAATGTAATATGGGAGTTCTCCATTTACCATTTTTCCTTGAACCGTGAATATTTCCGCATTCATATTTTTTTTTTAATTTAAACCATATTTCTTTTCGAAATATTGATGCTTTATCGGTGTACTCATTGTTTATGCAAACATCCTTTTGTATACTCATCTGTTCCTTCAGCATAGTATATTTTGCACACATCACCAGGGAAAATTTTATACAATATATAGACAGTGAGTCATAAAAATTCATGGCTTAAAATTAAACACTGAAACCACAGATATCTAAAAATAAAAGAATTGATGTTTCGGTCCGTCCAGGACCATTTTCCCGTCGTGAGTGGAAATGGTCCAGAACGGACCGAAACGTCGTCGTTTTCTTTAGTTCCAGATGTGTTTGTTGGGTGTCTACTTCTCTATGTAAGTTTCTATTTATGACTCTTTTTCTCATCATATTCAAGTCTAACAAGTTCATAATTTTTTACACAAAATATAAGACACTCAAAGTCTAACGATCATGACTCAGATCAGTCTCTTTAATAACTTGCCTGGAATTCTTGTTACCGATCCTGGTCTCTTGTTTAGCCGTTCTTGTCATCTCTCTTACTTGCATATTGGCTCACAGTAACCATTTTCCAATGGTCTGGAAGCTTGAAAAACTATAGCAAGGGGTCTACCCAACGCAAGGGGTCCTCTCAAGGCAAGGGGTCCTCTCAAGGCAAGGGGTCCTCTCAATGCAAGGGGTCCTCTCAAGGCAAGGGGTCCACTCAA